GATCAACACCCTAGACAAACGCTACACAGTGCCGTCCCGCAACTATTTTTCTATTGTTGCACTACCTGCTCTACACACGCAGTGTCGAGCAACGGTGGAAACGGAATTACAAGCAGTACAACATTTTGCGGCAACGACAAAATGTGAGACATTTGTTGTTTTTATGTTTATTTATTGTTTTTATGTTTATTTATTGTTTTTATGTTCAGTCTCAACTGTTACGAAGTTGATGTGCAGTTAATAAGTGCAATAAATATTTATACTGGAAAAGAAAATCGTGAGAGAATCGTGATCTCAATTCTAAGCAAAAAAATCGTGATTCTCATTTTATGCAAAATCGTGCAGCCCTAGTTGTCATTGTGATGTGCATCGTATGGACAAAATAAAGTGTGTTGTACCGCTCTACCATCACACAAAAATTGAAAGTTGAAATTGTGGACACTGGGCTGCTAACAAACAGATGAACAAACAGAACCCATCACTTACTCGCTCCCTTCAGCAGAGAATGAAAAACAGCAAATGTTCTTATGTAATAAATGTGACAGTATGAGCTTTTGGATTTAGCAACAAACTCTTGCTGATATGTTAAATGTGTCAGAGTTTTTTATTTACATGTCCACAAAACTAGCATGCATTTGGAGTCTTGACAAAATTAATGTAGTGTTGAATTAAATAAATTATTTTATGGCTACAATTTATTCTGCATCATTAATGATATAATCTATAGTATTGATCCTGCATTAAGATGTTTATTAAAACCTGCTGACTTTACATTAACTTTTTATTACAGGTACAGCCAGAAGTATTTCATACACATTGCATGATTGTGCTCATTCAGAGTTGATGTTCAGTCTCAGTTTATTGAAGGTTTCAAGATTTGTGAAGCACTATGACTTCACAATCTATTGTGTAAAAGACTTAGAACATAGAAGGCCGCTACACGCTTATAACACATATAGTACAAATAATCTAGAAACAGGCTTGAGTGAAGGCCTGAATGTATTCAGCCTCTTGTTGCAACCTGTGGCATTTGAGTTTACTTAGTAACAGGTGACAGAAGATGGGTCAACAGGAGTCCACGGGGACCTCCAGGGCCTGAAATCATCGCCATATTTGGGAAAAGATGTTAGAAAGAGGAACTTCTGTGTCTGACCTTAGCTCTGAAATTGTCTCATTGTCTGTACAAGATGCAAATGATGTTCTTAGAAATACAAAAATATGTTATAGATCTCTGTTCTCCAAATATGGTCGTGTTCAGTTTTAAAAAGTAAAACACAACAACGGTGAAAATAAAGCTTTGAAATGCAATCGACAAACGAATGGGTGACACAAAGACGTGTGTCTTCACTGTTTATCAAAGAGTGCAAACAACCTTTTTAGTAAACAGTCAGTTACACATTTTATATGTTTGTACAGCGGTTTGTTAAAGTTATGTCCTAATATTGTCTTTTTCTTAACAACATAAACATTTTAAATACGATAACAATAATGTCGTTACTCACAGCGGATGCAAACATGTTCCACTTCCCAAACTCGTCCTGCCAGTACCAAAGCCACTCGGTGGTGTGGATGAAGGTCGGCTCAGTCACCGAGTTTTCTGTCGAGAGTCGACGTACCTTCTTCAGTCCGCAGGTCATCGTGTCAAAGTGCACGGCTGGGCTGGTGCTACTGCAGACACACAATTAAAACAAAATGATTTGAATCCACTGCTAGCTGTGTACTGGGTGTGTGTCGTTTGAAAAAGTTGGCATTTAAGAATCACTTAAGATGACTGAGTTGTGGAATAAACAATCGAATACAAGTTCTGCACTGAGTGAAACAGATTTTTGATCTCCAAGCTAAACATAACTTAGTATTCGGTGGAGAAACCCATCCTGCAAACACAGCATTAAGACATTTCTTGTAGCTGGTCATCAGGCAGTGTTGCCAATTCCTCAGTAAGGAAAATCGCTATTGGCTGTCCCAAAAATTGCTAGAAGTCGCTAAATGATGTCATCGCCTAATTTGCATAATATGTCATGCTAATGTAATTGTAACCTATGTTGTTGGAGAGAGAAATAACATCGTGGAAGAGACATAAAGTGAGTAAAAAAAACATCCTAAATGCATTTAGAGTTTATTTAGAACTACGAATTAAATTAATTTTAGCAATTATTGTTTTTTTAATGTCACAATTCCAACCCTGCTCCTTTGTCTGGGCTTGGACCGGCAAAAGTGACCCGAATTGGCACTCTGGTGGAGTTACTTTGTGTGTGTGTGTTTATAAGTAGTTTTAAACCTGATCCACAAAACAGCATAAGAGAAAAAGAACTGACTGCGTTACAGTCGGTGCAGAGCAGCGGTTTTGCTCATGTGCGATTCATTTGCACTTTAGACGTATAGGTGTGAACATCTCCTTCCCTGATAGCAGCTGGGGGAGGACTATCCTCCACCTGTGAGTGCTTTGGCACGGGTGAGGTGCACCGTGCCAAAGCACTGCTGCTTGTTGAGAGTAAGAGCCATACGCGCTTTCACGTCAAAACGTTGTCATAAATGTCTCCAATAACACCAGAAAAAGTCGCCAGATTTGTCGCTTGTCGCTTTTTTTTAGAAAAAAAGTCGCTAAGGGGTCTGAAAACTCGCTAAATATAGCGACAAAGTCGCTAAGTTGGCAACACTGTCATCAGGTTTGCACACATCACCGAGGGATCTTAGACCACTCCCTTTTTACAGAAACTCTTTAAACCCTTCAGGTTCTTGGGTTCCACTGAACAACTCAAAGCTTCAGCTCCCTCCACAGATTTTCTACAGGACACGTCTGGAGACTGTCTAGGCCACTCCATGACCTTTGCTCTTCTTTAGCCACTTCTTTGTTGACTTGGTATGTTTTGGGTCACTGCCATGCTGGAAAATCTGTCCACTCAGTGGTCACGCTGCGGGAGGGAAGTTCTCTTCAAGATTGTCCGGTGCACGGCCCTGTCCATTTAGGATGGGAATTGATAAGAATTTAGCGATTCCGATTCCATGATTGATATCACTTATCAATTCTTCATGGCTTTCATTGGCTCTGCTTTGAGTCGCCACCATCTCTAAGCAGCATAGCAAAGACATTACATTCATGGAAGTTAATGACATGCTGTGTGGTCAAATGTGCATGTTGGAGGGATTTCCCATCCTTCTTGTGTTTTGTGGTCATTACCAGAGATGGGCAGTAACGCGTTACTTGTAACGCGTTACTGTAATCCGATTACTTTTTTCAAGTAACGAGTAAAGTAAGGGATTA